ACTTTTTGACATCTTTCTCGCCTCTTTTTACCTTCAACTTTGAGTATCTTCTCTCGTCCTTCGGGTGTGCATAAAGTCATTGTATAACTGAACAGCATAATCATGTCACCCCTTTTCCTTCTTTCATCCAAAGGAGTAAGTCCTACTCTCCGCAGCTCACATCTCTTCGAGTAGGTGCCCATCTTGTGGCTACTCTTTGAATTCTTTCCAGTTTATCTATATCCTTTTTTAAATGTGGAGTCCTTGCCACTGCACCGTAATCTAAGTCTCATGAGGGTTGTATTGATCTTGGTCTGAATATCCACTTCATGTTGGCAATCATTATGGATCTTTTCATTTATATGATAAATTGTGCTTAAGGTCTTGTTTTTGATTATTCGAAGATTTTTTTTCACTATAAGCTGTGTTTGAAACCCTCTCGTAATTTGTATTGGTATAGAGGACGATTTCTTCCTTCTCCTAGCCTGACATGGCATTTATTGGTGATGAATTCCATTTTTCAAGAGTGTGTCCCTCTAATTACTGTGCTTATTTGTGTTTGACTTAGGATGTCTTCTATCCATTCTTTCATAATCCTCTGAACCTTCTCAAAAGGAGTTTCTTGTTGTTTCTCATTTTCTTACACTTGTCATTGAACCACTTTTGGCCATTTCTTGCTTCAATTTTGATTTACAGTTTTGTATTTTTTTTATTGGATTCGCAAAATTTTTACTATTATAAATTGTTAAATGGTTCTTGCTCTTATTTGTGAGACGACTATGTAAAGCATGAGAATGTAACAATTTTAGCGGGCATGGAGATAAACACCGAATCTTAATCTTTGACTTATTAGTGTCTCTTTTCACGGTCACTAAACTAGCCCTAAGATCTGTCTCCCAACGGTTGCCGCAGACTCGGTTGTCTCGAGTGGCGTAAGCGCCAATTCATGCGCTTCGATTATTTGCGTTAACTCAAGGTGACTGATACCACTGCGTCGCACTCGCTTCACGATTTATTGGAATGCGGTCAAACCTGTAATCAATACATAATCAATGCAATATTAGTCATAAATCAATACAATGAGAATACAGTAATAATCATAGTTGCTGTTACAATTAGACTTAGATTCACTAACAAGATTATATCAGTACTTATAATATTACAACTCTAGAAAGAATACATTTTACGGTTTGCCAAGAATATCATTATACCCTACTGCTTAAGGTAAGCAACAAATATACGGACACTAATCTATATCTATACATGAATGTGTATGATACATACGCTTAGCGGGAACAGTCAAGGACTTTAACAGAAGCCCTCAGATCGGTCTTCATGTACGTGTTGTCGAGCCAATATTCACTCTCAAACTGTTCTATAAACTTGTGATGGCTCCCCTTTCGCGAGACACCCTTCCTTTCATATATACGTCAACACTAGGGACAAGGCTTAATTCAGCACATGTAAACACATGGAACCCATGAGGAAACCGTCACCCAAGTCCTTGAGGGGACGATATAGGCGCCAGCAGCTACGCCATGTCGATGCTGATGGCAGTGGCTACAGGTGGTTGCGGGGTGATCTTCAATCGGGCGGAAGCCGTGACTCTTGACACCGGCATGAAGGCAGGAGCGTGAAGGGCGAGGAATGCGCCGCCTCCCCGACGTCACATCGCTACAAACACTCTCAAAATAAAGATATCAATTGTCAATATACTAATATTGATTAGTATCACCCATTAATATCCCTTTTTGTTCATCACGATCTCTGTAACTGTTTTGTTTATATAATTACATAAAATGCAAATTAACCAATTGTCTAAGCCATACGAGCAGTTGCGTATAGTTCCCTTATTTTGGTCACTTTCGTTTGTTTCAGAGTTTATCATCCGTGAATATTAACTAAAACAAAATGCTTCTGTTATAACTTTATACTGGAATATATTTACATATATCAATGATCTCTTTGCCCAGGATTGTTTCACAGTTTATGCCATCAAAGACATCTTTAAGGCTTTCTTTCCTTACTTACGATGAGTTTTTTTCTGTAGCAGACAGTATTTTAGTTTAATTACTACATGGTCACTTTTTCCTAAAGAAGGATAGTATCCCATAACATTTATATTATTTTTATGCTTTATGAATATTAGGTCAAGAATAGACCGTTTTTATAGCCTTCTTACCCTCGTACGATCT